CACTGGAAAGGGAACAGGATTAGATGTTATATGCACAGGTATATCTTGGATTTAAGTGGATGGGATTTTCTTCTTATCTATTCGTTGTATAACTTTAGACATCTGTGATTGTGACAATGGTGGATGTGATAAAAATGCAAAATGTTCACACGACTATGGTAGTAATATAGTGAAATGCACATGTAAGGATGGCTTCAAGAACACTGGAACAGGAGTGGGATTGGGAGTAAAATGTACAGGTATGTGTTCGATTTAAGTCGATGATATTTTTTCTTATGTGTTCCTTCAATCACTTTAGATATCTGCGATTGCGACAATGGTGGATGTGATCCAAATGCCAAGTGTGCACACAGCCCTGGTAGTAGTATAGTCAAGTGTACCTGTAAAGATGGTTTTATGGATGTTGGATCGGGATCCACCGTAATTTGCAAAGGTACGTGTGTTAGAAAGGTCAAGTAGATTGCGAGAAGCTTGGTATTTTTTGGCACTAAAATGCTGGAAGGTCGAATAAGGATGCTGAAAGGATTGAATGAGTACAATGAGCTATTGAGCGCAGTGCGAGAAGGAGGAATCGTTGATGTTAGTGCTTAGTTGTGGAAGTGGCATTTTTCACGCATTTTTTTCCTGTAGGGAGATGTTGCGATATGGGACTCACGAAAGATACTTTTTATTGAATCCATAGTTGAAAACGGGTGGATGCTTGCGGAGAACCCTAGATCGTAATGGAGTCATGTTGCCACAGAGTGTGAAATAGTTTGACAGAATGTTGAAAAAGATGGTAGCAGGATATTTAGTGTCTTTCGATTGGTTTTAGCGGAGGATCGCAATATATTCTGCGTGGCTGCGAGTTTAGAACGAAAGATTTTCTCATAACTTCCAGTGTTTAACTAGGTTCTTGCCATGACATTATGAGCTTGCTTTATAGTGTAGTGTAGGTATACTTGAAAGAAAACGAATATAGTTGGAATAGATAAAGGATGGTTGTGCAGACCTTCGATGTACAAACTGCTCATCTCACCGGAGTGTATTGTGCTGAATTATTTTATATAGCTACACGTTTCCGTATCTTGGAGTATGACTGGGTTCTTAGCTTATAGTTAAGTTTTAGGAGAGCAAGCATTATTCGAGGAAAGTTTGAAATGTAGAACATCATATAAACTATCCGAGATTTTTTGTTTATAGAATCCCAGAATTTGTTTGTTTATTTCAATTGGACTGGAAAAATCTATTTTTTTTTACACAGAATTTAAAATATGGTTAGATTTTATGAAATAGTATGCCTCTTATCAAAACTAGCCATTGGATGGAGAAAATGAATTCAATAACCAAACTGAAATGAGCACCCTAATTGAATAAGTTTTCAATATCCTTTACGATAAACGCGCATAAGTAATTGATGTTTCTGCCGTGAATATCAAAACAATGTTGATATAGAACTTTGAAAGATTGGAAAAAAGATCCTTTAGGATTGCATCAGATGCTCTCTACATATTTATGTCAAGATATAGCCAAGATGAGGATAAAATCCGAGTAGTCTTCGGAGTTCTATCAGATTCGTAACAGAATATAATAAACATCTGAAAAATATTTCTATTTATTACTGTTGAAGTTTTGCTGAGCTGTAGTATTGAAATTTGTGTTGTGGTCTGAACATATACAAATGTTGGACTAATCCTGAACAAAAACGAGCTAAGTCTTGGTGGAGCCTTTGGATCCATGTTTGTGAAGATTCTGAATGAAATTAGTAATGGATCGTGATAGAATCCTGAAAATGAATCTCTGAATACAGTATAAACAGAAGTCTACAAAGATCTGAACTATATCTTGAGGGTGTGTGGGTGTGGAGTCTAAGCATTGGTGTGCATCTCGTATTCTCTCACACCCACACCGTTTTTTTTGCTTTCATGTAAAGTTGAAAATCATATAATCGCCTTCTATCGGAAATCCACTATTCTTACGAATCGCAAAGAAATAAAATACTAAAGAATGAGTGTGTCACATAAGAGAAGCACATTAATGAAAAGGATGTGTTTCGACTCATTGTCTGTTGAATAAACTTCGTCGGTCACATACTTTTTGTAGTTTTCTGATCAAATAGTTGTGTTAGAGAGAAAATGCATTTGTATTACAACAAATTCAGCCAAGGGTAATAGAAAAAGGCAAAAAAGTCTAACAAAAAAAAATTAAAATATAGGATATCTTTTTTTGCTTATTGGGAAGTCTGTGTCTGAGTAACTGTAATCTAGAACCAACGGAGTTCAGACTATACATGCACAATTTAGCAGCGAGCTCTATCACTAGGATAAATCAGTTCTTTGAAGCTAATATATCAATACATTCAAATTAAATATTGTAGCATCAAATCCATCT